AAATCTGCCAAATACCTTGGCCTGCATTTTTGACTCGGACATGAGTTGGACCACAATGGTGGACCATGTTGCTCGTCGTGTCGCCTGCAAAATTGCTGTCTTGCTGCGACATGCTTCCTCGCTGCCATATCCATGCCGATTCACCTAATTCAGATCTATCATTTTGCCAGAATTTTTGTATGCTTCTATTAGTTACCACCCGTATTTGTCAGTTGCTCAGGAACAACGGCTACATAGGCTGTTCAAACGTGCCGCTCGGGCAGTCTGCATGTCGCCACCGTGGACCCGTACTGCTCCCCTGCTAAATCGAATGCATGTATGTGATCTACAGGTTTCTGTGCACTTGAATATGTTTTGTTTCATCTGGCGATGTTTGCATGATGCATGTAGCACCCTATTTCAGTCCTTTTTTGCTGTCGTACCCTCAACTCGCACTCGAGGAGGCCAATGCAACTTGCTCAGGTTGTGGTCCCACCTGCTAGCACTGCTCGTTCTGCTAAGCGCCTAACGCACGCTGGAGCCATTATGTGGAATAGATTGCCACCAGCATCAACATGTTCAAATAGGTATTTGGATTTCAAATCTCAAGCCTTGCAGTATAATAATATTATTATCAGCGACATAGGTTTTCCAATGCTCACTGGATTGATATCTGTTCGTTGCAACCAACCTTCCGTTTTCTTTCTCTTTTTTTCCTATATCTACTTTTCCACAAAATCCTTTAACACTTTCGTCACAGTGGGTCCAATGTTATTAGGCATTTTGCCTGTTTTGATTTCCACTATAAATAAAGTATACAACAACAACAACAATTTGACATTCCATGTTACTGACTACAAAGATTCTTCCGGCTAATGCAACAAAAAGTTTGAATGACTTACAGCGTTTTTAGGTTGGTTACGGTAGAAAACATATTATCTTCTAAACGCTTAAACTTGTTAAGATTCAAATTCCTGCATAAATTGAAATGGAGCATTTTTGGCAAGATGTTCTGACTTACAACTATAACAATACTGAGAATGATTGATTGGGGAATAAAAAGAAATATGCACAGGGACAAATTCCGAGCGGCAATGAGGCTATAATTTTGTTGTTGTTCCCTGGAAAGCCTATGTCATAGAGCTCTGCACCCACAGTCTGCAAGAAGGTACACTAGCCAGGAGTACAGAAACACTTCACTCCACGATAGCGAGCTTGACCACTACTAATTTTTTCAATATCGCTAACCCACAACCTTCAAACTTGGCTCGGAGGTTCATAGATGAGCCCCGGCCAGCGAAAACCAGCACTTGTGTACTTGATATCAATCATCAAAATGTGACGTCAAAGTTTGGGACGCGCAATGAGCTGGCTTTTGAAGATTCTTTTTCGATCGAGTGGGTGTCTTCATTGTCAAAGGAGTTTCAAGTGTCTTCAAATGAGTCTGGTCAATCGATTTTAGCGCTAGGTGAGAGAGCTCGTCAAACGGAGGTTGAGTTTAGACACAGCGATGGCGACAGGTGTCGCGACAAGGACTTAGGTCCAGAGTTGTCAGCGTGAGACTCCCTGTACGAAGCGGCGCTGAAAGTTAGTTCGCGATCGGAATTATTTCTTTGGTGGCGATCTCGCTGAGTTTGTCCAGCAGTGGCGAGTCTCATCATGATTCATAGGAACGAAGAGCCCTCATAAAATCGACACTGGATACTGGTGGCGACGATAGTCAGTGCTGGAGTAATAGCGACTGCGAGGAGAAGCTGAATGTCGACCCGCTGAGCGATCCGTATTTCTACATCGACAACAATGATGTTGCAGACACTGATGGAGGGCTTCTCACGGCGCAAAACAGAGCATAGTATTATCAGTACTCTACCTTGCCAGACGACGCCAAGCTGGCTGCTGCCTGTGCTGAGAAAGGGGATTCCTAAAAAGTCAAACCGGCTGAACGCTTTGGGGCAACATCTTCACGTGCTACAAAACGCGAATATTCGCTCATATCATTGAAATACTTGAAGTACTATTATGCTGAAATCATGGTATGAGTGAAAGTGTGCAAGGGAGTGGATGTCAGTGGTATTGGTCAGTACATCTATCAGTATGGCAAGCTTTGGGACAACGCTCAAACTGCCAGCACAGAGTTCCCTGAACACAATTTGGAAGGCCAGCCACCAATCATCGTTTTGCACTCTGGTGTTGTAAAGAAGGTAGTGGTGTATACAGAATATCGTCACACTTCTGAACTACTGGGGCCTGCAGCACCAAGAGGGCAAGCCTGACTTGCATTCTATTTACTTACATGTACCTGTTCCACATCACAATCAGAAACTGTAGGATCAACTTGCATGGAGTCACTGGGCATGGATGCTGCGCCAACTGTACGGAATCTTGACCTGTGTGACTTCAAACTCTATTTTACACGCTTTCGCTTATCAGATTGTCACCAAACTTGATGACTTGAATGATTAATAGTGTAGAATCAATCTCGAGCGAAAAAATAATTTTTGAAAAAATTACACATGTTCAGGTTTCTGCTGGCTGGGGCTCAGATATTAGTTAAAACACCAAAGAGGGAAAGAGTTAAATTGAGGATCCCAAATTGTGTGGTTATCGCTTTACATTGCTGAATTGTGGTTATCCATCAGCACTCAGCCGAAGGCCAGATATTGGCACCCACCTGGCTAGCATTCAACAGCCAAAGGTGGGGCCAACATCATATGGATGTTGAAAGGAAACACAAGAGGGGGTGGAGGAAGATACGACCGAAAGAACTCCACCACCCACCGCAGAGCATTACAAATGAAGGACCTTACGCAGGATAACTGCCGAGCCAAGGAGAGCATTCTTTTGCAATTCAGACACGGAGCAGTAGCTGGTGATCATACTTACCAACCATACCGGTTTTGCCGGTCTACTACCCGGAAACTAGGGTAACTACCGGCATACCGAGGATTTTGACCTTGATCGAAAAACTACCGGACTTGGCACTGAACCATGAATGTTTAAAAAAAGGTTGTTTTGTGGTGTGACAAGGGCACATGCGGCCCTGCATTTCACAGAATCACACATGTAGGGGCGATCTGACAATCAAGAAACTCACGTTTCGGTCGCCCAGTGAGCAATGGGTTAGAAATGAATAAAATGAAAGAAAGAAATGAAGTTTATTGTTCCAACTAGGACAAGAAGCGTGTGTTCCTAGTTGGAACAATCAACTTCATTAATATTACTGCCGAAGTCGCAACTTCTAAGTTTGAAAGAAAGAAAATTGCCAAAAAGGAGAAAATAGCCGAAATTGGCGAAAACTAGCAAAATAAGGGGAATGAGAGAAAATTAAGGGAAACTGGTTTGTGACTAAGGGATTTGCTTTTGCTGGGTTGGCAATTATGGGTGATACCGATGGTGTCAAGGTATGCCACCTTATTCAAATAGGGCTTTCAACTGCCAGATCGTAACCTGAACCAACTTAGAAGAATGTGGATGTATGCGAAGTGTATCGGGGGAATGTGCGGTTCGAATCCCATGTTAGGCCAAGCCAAGGAATACGTCATGTACTTCATAATCGTCCTGTTTTTCAGAAAAATGAGGAGGGCGGGCGATTTTTATTTTTATCATGGTACAGGTGGAGTCTTGGTAACTCCAGCCTCAGAATAACATGCATGATGACCTAGGGAAAAGAGCAAAGCGTAGGGCCCTGAGCTTTCAAGCTCAACATTGGGCATGATTGCCCGTTTGACGTGCGATGTAAAATAAAATCAATACAATACAAATAGAGAACGACAAGAAAGGAACTATTCAAAATCACAAACCTATAATTGACATAGCTGGCGTAGAGGCCAACGGCCGTGGGCAGGGTACGCACTTTGCTTCAAACACTACAGAACAATGTACACATGGCAAAGCAGTTGACAACAGTGTACAGTGCATGCTTGTATAATGTGTAGTACACACAGAGCAGCGGATGGCGTACAGCGTACAGATCGTGTGCAGACAGACTATGGATTCAAACGTAACACACCTCCTTCTTTAGATAATAAACGGTGTGAGGAGTAGAATGCTGTTGATACAAATGCAAAAAGAGAACTACTGCATTGCAACGCAGAACACAGTGAAAGTAAAGCTCACAGAACAATTAACAAAAAGAAATGAGCTGTACTAGAATCATGACAGGACTGTTAGTGTCATCACAATTCTTCAATCAAACGTTGACGGGGACGATGCTGTCTGGAGGAACGGCGCGGAGACTGTGCTGGCTTAGCCTCAGACGATGTGGACTGGGATTGAGCGACTTTGTTGTCCACATCGGGCTCAAGTGACGGCTGGACAGCAGGTACAGCAGGAGCGGGTTCTGCTGGTGCAATGACTGGTACAGGTGCTGTAGAAAGCCGAAGGAATTCAACGGTCAGTTGCGGTTGCAGTTCAGTCTGTTCAGTCTCCTCTTCCTCTCAGATTCTGCCAAACGAAGGTGGTCCGAATGCACATGTCGCGTCTGTTGGCCAGTACGGACAACGTTCGATAGCGGACCAAGACGCTCGGCGATAGTACCGTGAATCCACTTTTGGACCATTGCCATTGCGGGTGTTTAGAACTGCTACAGCATCGCCTACTAGCCAACCTGGGGTATAGCCGATTGGTTTGTAGTCTTGCGGCCTGCGAATCATGAGGTTCCGAGTTCAAAACCTGCGCTGGTAACAGGGAGTGTGTTTAGTGCTCTCTCAATCGCGGTGATGCGGGCGAGTACCAATTTTTACATGCAATGAACTGTGCCGACACCCCCGGTGAACTGGGCACTCACTTGCCCGGTGTGAGGGTAACAAGGATGCGGTTTATGGGGTTATAGGGCCTTTACACGCCCGCCTGTTGAGAGACTTATCCCCTCGCCCCTGACTCACTTGCGAGGTCTGCATTCGACACTGAGGATGTATGGACGAAGTGGTGGCCCGCCGATGCGAATGTATTTGCTTGATGTGTGCCTCAACACGTCAGGTGATGCGGCCGTGAATCCGCCTAACTTTACTTTCTATTCTTTTTTACAGCATCGCCTGCGGTGTAATTTTTCTTCGTTGAGCAGTCTGACGCTGACGCTGGGTACTACTGAAATTTGGCTTCAGCAGGGAGAACTTGGCATCGGGGGACTTCTTGGACACCAAGCTTGCAGGCGTCACTTGTGTTGTCGAGTGCGGCGTGTTGCGGTACGCGAATACGAAGCGATGGAGCTGTGTGTCGGCTGACATATTGTCCGGCCACATACGCAGTGACTTCTTCAACTCTTGGACACAACGTTCTACTTGTCCGTGGGATGCAAGGTGGGACGGTGGTGTGCACTTATGACTGATTCCGTTCTCCAAACAGAATTGGCGGACCAGATGTGACGTGAATTGTGGACCATTGCCGCTCACCAGGGTCTTCGGGATGTCGCACTCCAGGGTCTGGTGGGTTGTCGTTGAAGACATCTTGTGGATGCAGCGCCACTTTGAGTAGGCGTCTACAAGCAGAAAGTAGTGCTGGCCGTCGTGCTCGGCGAAGTCGACTTGCACTCTTTCAAAGGGCTCGGAGGGATATATCCAGGGATGCGGTGCTTCCTTGGACGGAGTGTTAGCGGTGTCTTGGCACCGACGGCATGACGTGGCTAGATGCTTGATATCATCATCAATGCCACCAGAAGACACTACATGCAACATACTTCATTTGCACAATGCCAAGGTGCACACTGTGCAGCTCCTGCAGCAGCGCGCAGCGAAGTTGCACAGGGATTGCGGTACGATGGCCTCTCACCAAACCACGGGACTCAAACGTCAGCTTGTTGCGGCATCGGCGGTGGGCTTGTGGATCGTCAGGGGTGTCGGCGGGCCAACCGAACTGAAGATACTGCATGATGCGTGAGATAACGACATCGTCTTTGCTGGCTGCGGCAACATCAGCAGCAGAGACGGGTAGAGATTCACATGGATTGTGGGAATTGCTGGATAACGGCGTTTACAACGGCTGCTTTTTGCTGCTCGGACAGCTTCAAAGGCAGGTGGGATAAGCAGTCAGCGACAACGTCAGCGGTGCCACTGATATGCTCAATCTGGTACTCATACTCACTGAGAATTACTGCCGAATGCTGTAACCGGGAAACGGCTGTTGCTGGCATGTCGGAGTGCGGTCCAAAGATACGCAGCAGCAGCTTATGGTCAGTGCGGAGCACAAACGGACCACCATACAAATACATGTGAAAACGTGAACACAATTGCTAGAGCCTCAAGCTCGATCTGGCTGTAGTGTGATTCAGCAGAAATCAAAGCTCGGGATTCAAAGCACACAGGACGTCAGCTGCCATTATCATCTTCTTGCAGCAGACAGGCACCGAGGCCATGCGGAGAAGCATCACACTCGACAATGACTTTCGGGTTGATGTAGAAGAATGGGTGCATCAGCCATCAGACTCTTGACCTCGAATGACTCTTGACATTCAGGCGATTACTTAGTTGAGTATAACTGATGTCAGTACGGGACAGTTGTGACTTTTTGAGCTCTGTAAATTTTTAAGCCCAGCCGGCACTAGGCTGAGCTGGAGGTAGGTAGAACAGGCCCCTTGATGTGACAATGTCGTCTGAGGAGTCTCCCACTGCACCAGCAGATGTAGACCTTGCTGTGATGGACAACCAGGAGATCCGGCATCTCGCCAAGAGCCAAAGATTGGAACATTCGGGACTTTCCCGCACGCAGATAGTCAGGCTGCTGCGAGAAAACGGCATTGGTACGTCGGCAAACTCAGCAGGTCAGTCTGACAAAGTGCGCAATGGGCGTGATGTTGTTCAGCAGGCATTGACCAATATTGCAAGAACATGTTTAAAAAAGAATTGGCTGCTAAGGTAGCCCTAATTTCTGAATAACTGTCTTGCAGTTGGATGTGTCGTCCCTTCGAGGAGAATTGGCGGCTCTCAAAGAAAGGACCTCCGATTCCCAGGATCATGAACCCGTACAAACCAGAATACCTGAACCTCAACCCGTACGTGTACAACCGCCTGCTGCCAGCGTCAGGTTGCACAGTGCGGCGGCACAGTCATCACAGGTGCGAGTACGGGATAACACATGGGGATACCCCAGCCCGCATGCCAGTGCTACATGACCTCAAACAAGTTACCCAGGGCCAGGCACTCAGGTCACGTCGTACCATGAAAACCGGCCCAAGCCACCACCGGACGCCACCACCGACTCCTCACTGGTGGTGAAGTGTCGGCTTCAAAAATAACACCTCTTGGCATGGACCAAGAAACCCCTGCATGGACAGTTTGTCCGGCAAACAGAACAACTGACCAACGAGAACACCTGGAGTTGGCTGACAAAGGCTAGTCTCAAGAAGACCACAGGAAGCCTGATCATCGCGGCACAAGACCAGGTCTTGGCAACTAATCTGCTCAAGGCCCAAATCTTCCATTATGGGCGGAAGCCCCCTGTGTCGAATGTGTGGGAAGGCCGGCGAGTCGGTTGCCCATATCCTATGCGAGTGTTCAAAGCTCGCTGGATTACTTGGAGCGTCATAATCGGCTGGCCTCTCTGGTCCACTGGTCGCTCTGTCGTGTACATGGGATACCATGTGAAGACAAGTACTACAAGCACCACTGTGATCCGGTGCTTGAGCATACCAAGACCAATGAAACGGTACAAGAGCATCCTGCACCCGAGGATAACGTGTCTGAAGCTAGAGATACTTCAGACGCCAACATCTCTCCGCAGAACCAGAAGATCAAGATTCTGTGGGATTTCACCATCCGGTGCGATCGCTTCATTGAGCTCTGACGGCCTGATATTGTTTTGGTTGATGGACCTGCCAAGAAGGCCCTGATCATTGACATTGCTGTACCTGGTGATCCACGCGTTGCTGAAAAGGAAGTTGAGAAACGTGCCCAGTATCAACTTCTTGCTCACGAAATCCATCGGCAATGGCAAGTTGAGACTCAGATTGTTCCTGTGGTAATTGGGACTTTGGGCACTGTTTCCAAACAGCTCCCAGGATACCTTGACACCATCGGTATCACCAGCTACTGCTCTGTGTCTGAATTGCAAAAGAATGCTTTCCTTGGCTCGGCAGCTAGCCTGCATAAGGTCCTTGATTTGTAATGCTCTGGGGTGGGTGGTGGAGTTATTTCGGTCCTATTTTCCTCCAAACCTTCTTGTGTTTCCTATGATCGATATTAAAAAAAAGGTGTTGTGTGTTTCTCCCTGTGGTTTACCTACCATCATATTTAATATCCAAAGGCACACAATGAAAACCTTGGCAAATTAATTCCGTTGTGACTCAGAGTTTCATGGCTGAACCAATCATCAGACAACGACAATGGAATAAGAGGCAGCGCTGGTATATCTAAGTATATTTAATATCCATATGATGCATGGCCCCACCTTTGGCTGCTGGATGCTAGCCCGGTGGGTCCCTATCTTCGGGCTTCGGCCGAGCGCTCATGAATAATAATAATAATAATAATAATAATAATAATCAACGCAATAAATAGAGTAAGCTGCGCACTCAGTACAAACACCATTAGCAAAACTTGTTTTCATGTAAATAACTAAGCTTGTTCCTAAACGTTTTCGTCGCCATCTCATCAGAGGATTACTGGCAAATCAAATCCTCTGATGAGATGGCGACGAAAACGTTTAGGAACAAGCTTAGTTATTTACATGAAAACAAGTTTTGCTAATGGTGTTTGTACTGAGTGCGCAGCTTACTCTATTTATTGCGTTGATTACATTTTTATCTCCACGTAAGCTTTTTAATAATAATAATAATAATAATAATACGAAGTAGTGGTTGCGACTTCGGCGATGATTTTGTAAGAAAGGTTTGCTCCCCACACCGGAGCTCGCGCTATTCCGCAGACTTTACTTGACACTGACACTGGTGTTCACGAGGTGTTTGTCGCGTTGGAAGCGGAGCGTCTCTGTAAGTTTGTATCCCTGGTGATGTTTGTGCCTGGAGAGCACTATATAAGTGGTGTTCTTCAGGCACAATCTTCCTCAGCCTACTCAAGCTCAACTGATGAGGGGTGAATTCCCCGAAACACTGTGTATTGAGCAGGGAGTGGTGCTTTCTTGCAGGTTTGCCGAGTCGAAGGTTCGATGGACTTCTTGTGTGCTCTGGATGGCAGTCGTGAGTCAGTCAAGTGTCAAGTAAAGTCGGCGGAATAGCGCGAGCTCCGGTGTGGGGAGCAAACCTTTCTTAATAATAATAATAATAATAATCCCAGGTTCGAGTCTTGGTGGGTCTGGCGATTTTTTCTCTTTTCAGGCAGTTCACTTCCCCAACTGATCCTTTGTGTTTGAAGTTCTCCCAATCCGTTCAAAAAAAATAATAATAATAATTAATAAACAGTTTCCTCTGAGACAAAAATGCGATAATACTCATAAAAAGGACACACTTCAGGCTGTTAGGTAGGTCGTCAAAACCTCGTTAGTTACATGTATGTCTAGTGGTTGTCTCTTGTTGTCGCACTACATGTCACGCTTATTGAGTTTTCTCGCATTTGCACCTTTGTGTCATTATTGCAATTTTCGCTGTTTACTTTAGCTATCTTCTTTCTTTCTTTTTTTGCGCTGTTTTACCACCTTCTTACTGTATTTAATCCACTGTTCCTGTTCCTTTTCCCTTGCCTGTATTTCACCTGACGAGAAGGCTTGAAAGTATACTTGTGAAGACAAAAACTTTCAAGATGTTTGTAATGAGCCTGAAGTGTGTTCTTTTTATGAGTAATAATTAATAACTCGGATTATTGGTGTCGGGGTCCCAACGCGTCCCAACACTCAACAGTATACTATCAGTTATAGTTACATTACATTTAATATATTACTGAAACGGAAAGCAATCTTTGTCTCCAACCAAAGCAACAACTCGCGGAGCAACCAAAGAACAACTAAACTGAAAAGAAGAACCACATGGTTCAAAACCAATACACAAACCCGGCCCGGGCCGTATCGCGTATGCCAGCGACACGTGCATGAAAGCAAGTACAGAATGCAGAAAAGTAGCTTGCATGAAAAGTGCGTAGCGTTCACACCTGTATGCTAACCCGCACTACAACTCGCGTACTATACAAAGGACTAGTACTGCGCAGTAGGCACGCATTCAAATATGCTGTAGACATGCACTGCATAAATCTCCAAGTCCTCGTACAAACTGTGCAGTGCTGCAAAGGTACAAATAAATAAATATCAAACAAATATCAATGTGTAGATCAGCGACATCCTCCCCACCAAAACCTAGTGCAGGTTTTACAAGTCCAACCATTGCCTGTCGCTATACGCTGGGCAAGCGGAGAAGGTAGCGGATCATCCCACTTGCCTTGTTCCTTCCAGGCCTCTTGCAGGAGGATCTTGCCTGTCAATACTGCCGGTGACACCAAGTCGAGCGGATCAAATGTCGCTGCTATGCACTTCAATGGGGTGCGCCTCGTCCATGTCTTCCAGAGTGGCAGTTGACACTGCATCGCTACGTTAGAGGGAGAGTGTGTCGGCTGTCAAACACTAGATGGCGCGGAGGGCATTGCCTGTAGCTGCTGAGGTGCTGTGGCTGTTGCTGCTGCCACTGCTGCTGCCGCTGCCATTGTTGAAATCACTGCTACCATTGCTACTGTCATCATGAAGCAGGGTATGGTGTTTGTTGCCACACTTGCTGCAAGTAACACTACTATCACACATT